GCAACAACAACAACAACGACGACGACGACTACGACGACGACGACAACGACAACAACAACAACGACGACGACGACAACAACACAAACAACAACAACAACAACAACAACAACGACCACGACGACGGCAACAACAACAACAACGACGACGACGACTACGACGACGACGACAACGACAACAACAACAACGACGACGACGACAACAACAACAACAACAACAACAACAACAACAACAACGACCACGACGACGGCAACAACAACAACAACAACGACGACGACGACTACGACGACGACGACAACAACATCAACAACAACAACAACAACAACAACGACCACGACGACGGCAACAACAACAACAACAACGACGACGACGACTACGACGACGACGACAACAACAACAACAACAACAACAACAACAACAACGACCACGACGACGGCAACAACAACAACAACAACGACGACGACGACTACGACGACGACGACTACGACGACGACGACGACGACAACGACGACAACAACAACGACGACGACGACAACAACAACGACGACGACGACAACAACAACAACAACGACGACGACACTAACAACAACAACAACGACGACAACGACAACAACAACAACAACAACAACAACAACAACAACAACAACGACGACAACAACAACAACAACGACGACGACGACAACAACAACAACAACAACGACTACAAACGACAAACTCCATCCACTCACCTCTGCGCCGAGAGTTGGCGCGCGTGGACGTAGACTGTCGCCGGTTCGTTTGTCGCGCTGACCGTTACGGCGATGCAGCACGCTTTCTGATCGTGTTGACACGAGACAGGCCTGCGGTGTCGCGCCTGTACGCAACGAGAGAACTTGCTGGGAGCGTTAGAAGCAGGCAAATGTAGCGTCGAGAACGAGAGAAATAGCTTGCTCGAAGCGTTACAGATGCACGCATGTGTGGCATCGACAACGCGCGCGCCGAAATTACGCTAGAACTATGCGCTTCGCCAGCTAACATCGACGACGTGACGTCACGGGTGCGGTGACGTCATCGACGCAAACACGTGCGCGCGTGCCCTGTGTTGAAGGGATGAGGAGTGGGAGAGGGGAGCGTAGCGTTCTCTCTTCTCGGGATCGAGTGATGCGCAGACAGGCAGCGACACACAGCGGTGAGATTGTGAAGCGGAGATGCCCGCTTCTCTTATGCGATGCGTGTGGAACAGGCGTGAGTTACTAACCTCTATAGAGTAGAGGCGTTGTAACGAGCGGAGTATTTTTTACTCATTACCTCCGCCAAGGAGGTTATGTTTTCGCCCCTGTTCGTTTGTTTGTTGGTTTGTTTGTCTGTCAACCGGATATCTCAAAAAGTTACGGGCAGAACGCTGTAGCTACGCGGTTAGTTACGCTGTGGCGGAGGTTTGCTATCTCCGATTGCTCGTGTTCCCCATGTTGTGCTGTGCGGTGTGTTGCATTGCGTTAAGTTTTATTATGTGTTGTAGGCGTCGTGTTATTATATGTTGTCGATTGTATGTGTTGTGTTGCGTTATTTTGTGATTACGTGTGTGTGTGTATGTGTGTGTGTGTGCGCGCGCGTGTGTGTGTGCGTGTGCGTGCGTGCGTGCGTGCGTGCGTGCGTGTGTGTGTGTGCGCGTCGCGCGTGTGTGTGTGTCATTGTGTGTGTTCGTGCGCCGCGCAAAATGTGTGTGCGTTGTGTGCGTGTGCGTGTGTGCGTGTGTGTGCACAGCTCCGTCGTGGTGGCATGTGTGTGTGTGTGTGTTGATGTGTGTGTGTGTGTGTGTCGTGTGTGTGTGTGTGTGTGTGTGTGTGTGTGTGTGGGTGTGTGTGTGTGTGCGTATGTGTGTGTGCGTGTGTGTGTGTGTGTGTGTGTGTGTGTGTGTGTGTGTGTGTGTGTGCGTGCGCGCATGTGTTGTGCGTGTGTGCGTTGTGCGTGTTGCGTGTTTGTGGTGTGTGTGTGTGTGTGGTGTGTTGTGTGTGTGTGTGTGCTCGCATGCGTGTCATGTGTGTGTGTGCGCGCGTGCGAGCGCATGTGTGTGTGGTGTGTGTGTACTGTGTGTGTGTGTGTGTGTGCGTGTATGTGCGTTGGTGTGCGTGCGCGCGGCCCTGTAGTGTGTGCTGTGTGTGTGTGTATATATTATATATTTATATATATATAACGTTACCTCTATACGCGAGCATCTCCACTGCCCACCGTCTTAATCGACAGCTTCGCCGGTATGTTTAATTTAGCGGACGGGGTTTTTTCTCACTCGGATACGCTTGCACGTTGCGTTTTTTTTGGACGCCCGTGCAAAACGATGAGCGCTTCACATAGATCGCATAAGCTAAGCTATGTTCTAATTCGCGTTCTAACCTACGACACTTCTACGCAACTAACGCATTGGTAGCAGCTTCGATCGTGCGCTCGCCTCTGCGCCTAGCCACCGTCCTGTTTAATATCGCTGCGCTGTGTTCGATAAGGGTAATAATTGAACGCAGCTGCCGGCATGCGCGACAAAATAATAGTCCGTCAGTAAGGCGTGAGTTGACGGTGATTTCCACGAAGAATCGTATAATTGGCGAGCGAGCGGAGCGCTGCGGTTTGGACGCTGCCGCGAAACCCACACCATAGCTTAATGAGAAAACACCGAACCTGCTGCTATATGCATACGCGAAACTGCGCTCTAGCAATTCATGCACGAATGGCCGAGCAAACCGTTTTTGATCTTCGTGATTAATAAAAACATGTATCTACGTACGTGTTGTGTCTGCATGCGGATTGAGCGTGTGTGTATACGGTCCTTACGGGTTGGTGCGGCCTGTGCGCGCTTGAACGCGTATATATTATACGTGCTATCTATATATCTATATATTAAATGTATAATATTATGGTATGGTATTGCCCCATAGGAACTTCATACTAATATGACATTATATAGGGAAGCGGCATCGCGATGATATCTGTAGATCAGCGGAATTCTAAACGCGCTATTGTTGCGACAGACACACGTGTTGCATAGGAGAATATCTTATTTCATCTTCTCCGCCAGCGTCTGCATCATCAGACTCGTATAAGCTCTATACAAATCAAACGTCGTCGCATACAATACAGCTCGTTTCTGCGGGCGCAAAGCTCTGCTAGGAGACGGCCGTCTCATTCCTCTCTCATCTCTCATCTCTCTCGTCCGGCTCTCTCTCTC